CTCTAGGAATTCCTGCGCCTCCCAGATGCTCAGCCAGGCCCTTAAGGTGCCCCCGCTGTCCTGAGTGGAGATCGGTCACCTGAGCTGATTGACTGACGCATCTTCTTTTTTGCAGCAAAACTGCAGCTCGAGGGAAGGGTGGGCGCCACTATCCTTAATTAGTGAAGAGCCAAGGGACACAGTGTGATACTAACAGGACAAGAACTAAAGGGGCATTGTTCACATTTACAAAATAACAACATAACGATCAATAATTAGGAGGTAGAGAATCTATGTGACGTAAATTCTGAAGTTTTAAAATCTATAAATAGCGGAAAGGTAAATACTGCATGGCAGCCCTTATATATGAAATTTTTTAAAAAGTCAAACTCTACCCAACTGGCATTTTTAGAGTTAAAAAAATGATTGTCAGGAGCTGGGGGTGGGTGGATGGAGGAAATAGGGAGAGGTTGGTGAATGAGTGCAAACTTTCAGCTATAAGATGAGTGAGGTCTGAGAATCTAATGTAAAACATGGTGACTATAGCTGATAACACTGTACTGTATCATTGAAATTAGCTTAGAGAGTAGAACCCTGAATGTTCTCAGACACACACACACAAAAGATAAATAAATTGTGAGGTGATGGATATGTTAATTAGATGAAAGAATCCTATCATAATGTATATGTATATCAAATTATCATGAAGTATACTTTAAATATCTTACAACTTTATTTATCAGTTATTCTTCAGTAAAGCTGAATGAAATCTACAGATATCACTTGTAAACATATCATTCAGAGTTATCACAGAAAATGTCAGAGAAACCAATAGCTGGCATTTTGAGAAGGGGGTTGGCCTCAGCCAGAGAGTCTGAGGACGGGTACAGTTGCCTCTCATTAAAAACTCGTCGGCAGAATTTAATTTATTTACTTTACCTTGTTTTTATTAGGAATGTCTTAATTTTTTTTTCAGAACGGCTATGTCGTGCTTCAAAAAAATCCTCTGCAGCACTTACACATCATCTGTATAACAACCCCTCAGGCAGCTACTCGTAGAAGAGGCTCCGTTCAGCACCCATCTTTGAGCAGGTAAGAAAACAGAGGCCCACGTCGCACAGCCAAGTCTCCTGACTCTCCTTTCTCCTGTCCTGCAGCTGGGCCTCCCTCCCTCCCTCAGAACAAACCGGATGTCTGTGTGGGTTTTTAGCTGGTAGAGGACTCTTAGGGATATTTTGCTTTTATTCTGAGAATTGGCAGAGAAGGCATTGCCAGCCCTTTCTCACAGATATGGGAGCTGATGTCCACATACAGTGGCTCCAACTCCAAGCTCGGCCTCTTTCCACCCCCCTTCTTCTTCCTCTGGTGGGGCCGGTCTGGTAGAGTCAGAGTCTTGAGAAGGCCTGTGTGAGGGACATTCCAGAGGTCACCGGACTATGAGGGAGGAGGTCATCCTGGAGCAGCATCTCGTCAGCGCCCAAGCCACATGCCAACCCACCCTGAGGCACTGTGTAGCCCTCGTCTAATCTCAGGCTCCTGCCCTGACATGCTAGCCCTTCCTCAAAAGGTTCTGTCCTGAGATGAGTCATCATAGTGCTTAGGGCTGGGCCAGGAGCAGATGAACCATGTAGGGGACATCTTGGAGGAGCTGGAAAGGAATACGAAGGTGACTCGGTGGCTCAGGCAATCTGGCCCCTGTCTGCCAGGCTTTTCCTAAGGTGCTGGGCTGTCCCTGCCCTCCTCAAAGCTTGGAACCCGCCAAATCGCCTTTTTATCCAAGCTGTGGTGACAGGGCCTGAAGACCAGGCAGTTTCCTGAATCTTAGAGTCCAAGAAGATCATATAAGGCTGGGAAGGACCTTTGGAAATATCCAGTCTGAACACCTCAGTGCACGGAAGAGCACACTGAGGCCCAGGGAGGAGACCCAGGCCTGGAACCCAGGACACTGTGGTGCCTTCGGCCTGAGCTGCAGGAGATCTAGAGAGGCCACTTGGTCTTCCTCCAGGCAAAACTGAGCTGCGTCCAGCCCACAGCCGGGATTCTCTCTCCTGTGTTGAATAGATGAAAAGTGGAATTCACAGGTATCTGTCTCGCTTCTCTCCTGAAGGGGACCCGCGATTCTTCCTCCTTGGGTACCCTGTTCTACGGTTTTCATGTCTCTCACATTTGAAAAATCCCTTCATTGTCTGATCTAACTCTCCCGCTCTGCAAGTGAAGGGAGGCAAAGTCCAACTCACCTTCTGCTAATTTTCTTCCCTTATTTTTCTTCCTATTCATCCCAGTGCAGAGCCGGCTACATGATTTGTGGGGCCCAGTACAAAATGAAAATGCTGAGCCAATTGTTCAAATGTTATTAAGAATTTCAAGTTGGCAACAGCAGAACATTAAATCAAGTGGGGTGCCCTGTGTCTACACAGGTTAAAAAAACCATAAAGTTGGCCCCAGTGCTGGTAGCAAGAGTGATACTTAAACTCAACACTCACAGCTGGTCCTGAAAAGTCAAATTGTCTATTTCTCTGCCTTCAAGCTGGTCCAGGTCACTTGTCTTCCGTAGGTGAGAACCTCCTTGAAGTTTCACCCACACACCCTTCCCAGGAGCTCCAGGCCTCTGCTTCACACACTGCTGGGAAATCCTTCTAAATATCTCAATTTAAATCTCAGTCTTTTGGGCCTGTTTCCTCTTGTTCTGTCCTCACTGATTATGGGGAACAGCTGGTCCTTCTGTGTAATTAATTCTTGTAGACTTGGACACAGTCTGCAATTCCTTTTCCCTTTCCTCATTGGGCTCAGTCTCCACTGCTTTCTGCAACTCTGTCCCTCCTCTGATGCCTGCCCCAGCTTCTCCGCGTGCTTTGGAAGCCACGGGTTTCACAAGAAGCTCCAAAGAGCAAGAGTCAAGGCCCAGAGGGCTCAATGCCTGGGCGTGGGGGGAGGGACAGGGATGGGGGGGAGAGTGTAGGGGAGACTCACATTGATGAGCGGCCCCTCCCCCATCAGGCCCTGTCTTCCTCCTCCAGAAGTACTCGACTTTTATCTATTTCATGAACAGTTCCCAGATAAAGTCCCCCACCCCCACTGACTCACATTGGCGACTCTCAGCTCTTGTCCATCTCGATGTTTCTGTTCTCAGTGTGTGTCTCAGACTGAACGCCTCCCTTGGGAAATCCTGCACTTCCATGTCCCAGCACAGAGATCCATGGGCTGGAGCTGGGAGAGATTTATCAGAAGCTACCTCAGGGCAGAGTGGGTATGACAAACAGACAAGCGGCCACTCTCCCAGGTCTCCCGCTAACAGAATGCCGAGTGGCCGCTATAATCTGAAAGAGCAGATACTATAATCCCACACTACTTCCTATTGGCTACAGGACACAGTTCTGAAACCCGGGTGTGCCTCGGTGCTGGAATTCACAGGCTCACAAGCTGTGAAGCAGCTGTGGGGTGGGGAGGGTTTCAGCGAAGGAAGTGAGGTCAGTCAACAATTGATGCCTGCCTGAGCCTTTAGCCTCTATTCCTGTCAAAGGGCGGGGGGCCGCAGCCCCTCTTACAGAATCTCCATCTTAGAGCAAGATGCTTAGAGGTCTGTGCTTGCTTCTAATACCCATGTCCTTCTACTTGGCTGAGGCCACTGCCTCCTCCTTTCCCATTTATTAATTTAGTTAAGCACTTCCCCTGAAGGTCTACTCGGTGTCAGGCTCAGCCAACGCTATGAAGCTGGCACTGTTTATTGTGTCCATCCAGCAGATGGGGGACTGAGGCATGGAGAGGTGTCAGTTGTCCAAGCTTCCCTAAGGAGTCTGGATTCCCAGACTTCAGCCTTGGTGGATACCCAGGGGGCTAGGAATACAGGGGGCTAGGAATACAGGGAGAGTCCTGCCTTCAGGGTGCTCATGGAGGCTGGAGCAAAGTGAGTCAAGGATATCAGCACTCTAAGCCTCGGTGCGGATCCGGAGGAAGAGTTTGTTTCTCCCTGGGGGAGAAGCCATCCTGCTCCCCTCCCCAAATCTTGTCCATCTTGTCCCAGCAGCGTCCAGAGGGACACTCTGGTCCCCATCTCTAAATCTCCACTTAGTGGGGTGAGGGGCAGTCTAAAAAGTTTCCAGCCTCTCTCCTTCCACCCTGGCCCGCAGTCAGGAGAGGCGTCCTTGTCACTGGCTTCGAGGAGGCCGCCGGCTGGAGGGGCTCAGACTGTCTTCACCACTGACCCAGAGCCGCCCCATCTCGGCCTGTTTACCCTGAGCGGAGGAGGGAGGCAGGAGGGGACCAGAGTGGGTGAAGCAGCGGTGGGGAGGCCGAGGGATTTGGACCGAGTGGGAGTCCCGAAGGCGAAAGCGGGAGGAGGAGGAGGGGCAAAATGTTTGGACCTTGCCAGCCCCAAACCTTGCCCTGGCTGCCGTCATCCTCCTAGGCCGAGGGCCGGGGGTTGAAGGTGGAGAAAGCCAGGTAACTTCTGTCCCCTGCGGTGACCTTCCTTCCTGCGCTGACCCCTTCCCATCCCGGGGTGTTAGGTCAGCCCTCAGCGGCTCCGAGCGGCAGGGGGCGCCCCCACCCCTCCCCGGGCGTCAGCTGGTGCCACCTTCCCTTCGAGCTCCGACCCCTATAGATCTGGACCGGACCCCACGCGACCCCTGCCGCCCGAGTCCAAGGCCCGCCCCCTCGAGGAGGCGGATGTGGGAGGCTCGGGGCGGGGGCACGGGCCGCGATCCCGGAGCTGGGGGCGGCCGAGGGGACTGCTGTGCCCGGGGTCTGGGAGCCGCGCGGGGGAGGGTCCGGGTCCTGGCAGCCCCAGCGAGGGGCGAGCGGGCGGCCCGTCGGCGAGCTGGGCAATAGGAAACGGTTTATTAGGAGGGAGTGGTGGAGCCGGGGCCAAGCAGGAAGACGCTGGAATAAGAAACATTTTTGCTCCAGCCCCTTTCGCAGTCCCGGGAGGCCGTCGCGCCAGCAGCGCCGAGCGAGCCCCTCCCCGGCCCCAGCCCCTCCCCGGCCCCAGCCCCGTCCCGGCCGCGCCCGGACCCCGGCCTGCCGTCCTGCGTTCGTGGTGCGACCGCGGCCGTCGCCGCACGCCTGTGCCCCGCCGCACGCCTGTGCCCCGCTGCCCGCCGGGCAGGCCCAGAGGTGAGAGGAGGTCCGCCGGCGGGGCCGGGCGCGAGGGGGGGGGGTTGGCTCCTCCCCGAGCGGGCCCTTCCTTAGGGCAGATCCCCGAGAGCCCGTCGGAGAGGTCGCCGCAGGGTCAGCCGCAGCTCGTCGGGAGCGCGAGCCGTCCCTCGCCCTCCTGCCCGTCTGCCCGTTACCCCACCTGAGACTGGGAGGGGGCAGGACTATAGCTGCCTGGGAATCAAGAAACCGCTCCTGGGCCACTTAACATCTCTGTTCTCCTATTCTAATCCATGTAAAATGGCCAGGATTCCTGCCCTGCTGCACTCACAGAGAAGGGGTCACGTGTCCCTCGAGGCGGCTGCCTTAACCTGGGAGTGAGGGTCCCCCTCAAACGTTTGGAGCCTCCCCTGGAAGTCCAGCTTCCCCAGACCGGCCCTTGCAGCTCTTGCTTAAGGAACCTGACACTAACTCCAGCTCCGGAACCTCACCTCTAACCCGCGCAGCCGGATCAGCCCCGTAGCGGCCTACCTTTAGGGCACAGGCCAGAGGGTCTCAGTCTCCCTGCAGGGGGAAACCCCAGGTTTGCAGCCCACCCTGGAGGCCAGTGCTGCTGAGCCCACCCCCCTCTTTTTTTCCGCCAAGGTCAGGGCCATAGTGGACAGTGGCTTTCGCCCCTCTCTACTTAGGGGCAGCTTCTGGCCCAGTCGGGTCTGTCTTCTCGGGTCCCTCACTGCCCCGCTGGTCCTAGTGCCTGTCCTTCCATCTCATTGGGTGGTAACGGTAGCTACCATTTAGTGAGTGCTTACTGTGTAGACATATATTTTTTCTCATGTAATCCTTGCCACAACTTAGCAAAAGAGGGGTTATCATATTCGTCCTACAGAAGAGGCAGGTTCAGACTTGAATCACTTGTCCAAAGCTCCGTGGATGGTATAGATGATATGATGGTTGGGTTTTTGCTAACATTTGTTAAGTGCCTACTATGTACCACTTAGTACTATGCTAAATACTACATTATACCTGTGAAGTGAGCACTGTGATTATTCTCATTTTACACAGGGTAGCCTGAACCTCAGAAAGTTTCAGTAACTTCTTCCAAATCCCATAGCTCTAAGCGGCAGAGGCAGGATTTGAACCCAAGTCTACAAGAACCTGAGCCCACATCCTGACCTCCGTGCTGCCTCTGCATTCTGTCTGAGACCCTAAAATGCAGGCGTGGCGCCACCTTGGGCTGCGGTGAAAGGCTGATGAAGTGATGCCGGTAGAGGCTTTGTGGCTGTTAAGGCGCAGCCTGGCAGGAGTAGCTTAGCCTGGCTCTCTGCTATTTGGGTCGGACCTGCGGGTGGGCCGAGTGAGGCGCTTCCAGCCCCTGCCAGTCACTACTGTGCTGAGCTATTGCTGCTGGTTGGAGCCAGTTATGTCCGTCCCTCAGGTGCGATGGGGAGGGAAGACTGACGACCCCCTTCCAAGCACACCCCTACTCGGGCTCTCCCACCCGTGACTCAGCCTGTGACTAACAGGTGATTTCTGTCTCCCCATCTAAATAAACCCAAATTGGGCACCTCTTGATGACAAGGCAGTGCACAATCTGTTAATGTCAGCAAGACCCACTCTCACTTTTTCCTTCTTTGTGGGGCTCACCCAACATGAGACGATTGGAAGAATAAAGTGACCAAGGAAGGGATTGTGATCCATAATTTAAGTTGATCAAGACACATGTGGTGACCATGGGTGAGAAACGTAACATCCCTGAGCCTGTTCCCCCATTCGGTTGTTGTGAGGATTAAATGAGGTGAACCATTAAAGTTCAGTACCTAGCACATATCATACTCAGAGAAGGCTAACTCTTATCTCTAAGGGTTTCACAGTGGTAAGTTAATATTTGCCATCAGTTTAGCTTTTGTGATTTCTGGTCAACAACAGTGATGCTTCCGTCAGCTGGAGATCTCTCATGAAATTGTGCTTGAAAATGGAAGGATGCCGTCCACCGTCAGGAGTCCGTTTGTGCTGGAGTCAGGCTGCGGGTCGAGTCACACGGGGTCAGCTCTGAGTTTGGGCCGGTCAGGACTGAGCACTGTCCTGTACTTCGCCTTACACTGGGCACAGTTAGAAGTTGGACAGTCCCCAGTTTACTCCACCACATTCCCAGGATTAAACCGAGGTGGGCCCTGCAAATGCTGCCAGCCTCTCCCTGTGCGTTCCTGGGCCCGGGAGGCATGAGGACAGTGTCAAGAGCAGGGGCCTCTCCCCACCCTCCCTCCACAGTGTCCTCGAGCCCCTAACTTTTGTGTTCAGCCTTGTGTGTCCTTCTCCAGTAAAGGGGGAGGTCCCTGGATGGGAGCGAGAGTCCCATCCTCTGCACCCCACTCCCCCCACCCAGCGGGCCCTGTGAAATGAAAGCATGGGGACCGGTCTTAATGCTGTGTAGGATATCGCGGTGCCCATGATTAGAATTACCTATGGAACTTTAAAAAAAAGCATGGTTCTCGCTGGTCCCAGATTCTGACCAAATCAGAATCTGGAGTGGGGGCGAGACCAAAGAATGTGCATTTCTAACCAAGCCCTTCAGGTGATCCGGATACATAATAAGGTGAGAGGGAGCCCTGGGCGGGGTCAGAGAAGCGGGTAGAGGACCCTAGGAGGATGCCACCTTCACCCCCATTGTGTTTCACCTTTTCCTTCCTGCCCCCTACCCTTTCAAAGGCTGCTGCCACGGAGGGTGTTCGGCCCATACCCCAGTGGGCAAATTCAGCTTGTCTGGGACTCCCTCTCCAGCCTCCAGTCCCACTGCAGGGTGCTTGCTGGCGTCCTCACTGTCTGCCAGGAGGGACAAGAGGCAGGAGGTCAGACAAAGGCGGGGGACCCAGCTGCAGCAGCCCAGGGCTCCATTTCCTCCCCCAACTCTGGGCCTCTGGGGCAGAGGAAGCCCAGGCAGGAAGGCCAGGGCTGCCACCAGCCAGAGAGGCATAGGAAGCTCCCCCCACCCTCCCAGCCATCCTGCCCCGAGAGCCTGAGCATCTCAGATCTTCGTTTGGCACCATTCTCAGTCCATAGGCCTTCTGCAGCCTATGTGGCCATAGGCCCGGCCCTACCAGCATCTCCATGCGATGCCAGACGTCACTCCCTCTCCTTCGTGTTAGTTGCCCCTATTTGGACATCCAGTCCCCAGGCAAATGCCTGCATATTCACCACCTTTCAGAAAGTCCTTGTTACTGTCTGACCTCAGTCCGTCTTGCTGCAGCCCCAGCCCTTACCTTCTTGTTCTAAACCTTTGAGAAATGAAGTAGAGGGCAGCGTCTGAAGCACTCGTTGGTTTGGAACCAGGTTTGGGGGCTGCCAAAGATCAGAATTACTCTCCTTAACACTCTCCATCCCACTTGTGGAAAAATTCAACCTTAGCCAGCCATGGAAGGTCAAACATTCAGTGTCTAAGTGTGTTTCACTTCCCTTCTCACATCATTGGCCCTGCCCCCCACCCGTTCCCGGGACAGCAAGGAAAGAGAAGGGGCCCGGGGAACTGTGCAGAGAGGGCTTCTTATACTCTGGTGAGGGGGCAGAGCGGTTCCTGCCTCGCAGCGTGAGCCAGCCCTGTGAAAGCTCTGTGTGGCCGCCACAGCCCTGAGGGCTCAGACATGGGCTGCCGCCGTGGACTGGGCGACAGAGTGGAGAGAGCACTGGTCGGGGAGCATGGACACCTGGGCTGTACCCCTGGTACTGCCTCTGAATCCTGTGTGGACTTGGACAAGTCTCTTCCCCTCTCTAAACCTTAATCCTCTCTTCTCTGAAATAAGGAGCTGGGCTTTGTGATTCACAAGGTGTCCCCCTAGGATTCTGTCACGGGGGTGTTCCGACCCCAGCTGGCTCCTTCAGACCCTGCGCCTGCCCCAGGCTGCCCTGAGAACATGCCCAGAACTCCATGCCGTGCGTGACTCCCGCCTATTCTATCCAGACCCCAATCTAAACAATCTTGATTCCTGTTCCCAGCTTGGCGGGACCCTGAATGGCAGGAAGTGAAGACAGGAGCCTGTTTATGTTTGAGGCAGCCACGGCTGGTGGGGCACTGGGAAAGGGGTGGGCAGGGGGGCTGGAAGGGGGTAGGCAAGAGGCAGAGGACAGAAGTGGGTGCTGCTGAAGAGATGGTCCTTCTGGCCAGCCCGTGCCCTCTGTGCCCTCCAGTTGAGCTCAGCAGCAGGGCTGCAGGGCTGGGAGTCCCCCCAGCTCTCAGTCACTTGAACATGGCTCCCCACCCTTTACCCCTAACAGGATGGTTTCCATGGGGAAGTGAACCAGGACTTCCCCTGCAGGCGCCGCCCCAAAGCCAGATGCACAGAGTAGGGAGGAGGCCTCCCGGTCCCCCCCCCCAAAACACTCCCAGTGATTTCCTCTGGGTGGGAGGGACCCACGGTCAGTGGCTGAAAACACGGAGGGAAATCGTGTTTCACAGATCTTACTGCATCCCCTCTCCTGCTTCTCTCTCCAGGAGGACCATGACCTTGGACCCTCCCAGCAGAAACCTTCTGATGCTACTGTTGGCCTTGGGCCTGACCCAGGGTTAGTACTGTAGGAAACAGGGGCCTGAATGGAGAAAGGGCTATCTGGCGCAGCTCTTGCTGGTGCTGAGTTTGAGGAGCTGGGAAAAGGGACTTTGGAGCTTGGCTGGAGGGCAGGAGACAGCTCAATTTGACTAGCTGCCCCAACTCTCCTTTGCTGTTCTCTTGATCCAAACCTTCAGGCCGGAGTTCTGCCAGACTTCAGGGTGGGAACCTCTGTGGGGGAGGGGGGGGGGGGGGGTTCAGAGAGTGGGGAGGTTGGCAGGGAGGGCCTGGAGGAGCCCTCAGGATTGGGGCTGGGGCCTGGAACTGGGTGCGGGGGATCAGGAAAGGGACAGAGGCCTGGTTCTCATAGTCTCAGCTGCCCCTTGGTGGGGGCAAGGGTCTGGAGGAAGGAGGATCTGAGGGTGGAACTAAGGGACCAAGGTCTCAAGAGGTTTGTCTGAAAGGTCAGAAGGGAGAGGGTGGTGGGTGTTGGGCTCAGCCTGGGGAGCTGGGCCCAGAGTGACTGAGCTTCCATGTTGTCTCCCAGGCAACGCTGTGAGGCCCTCTAGGGGCCCCCCGGTGACCTGCATATGTGAGAGCCCACATTGCAGGGGGCCGACCTGCCAGGGGGCCTGGTGCACCGTAGTGCTGGTGCGGGAGGAAGGCACGCGCGCCCAGGAACACCGAGGCTGTGGGAACTTGCACGAAGAACTCTGCTGGGGACGCCCCACTGAGTTCGTCAACCACTACTGCTGCTACAGCTCCCTCTGCAACCAAAACGTGTCCCTGGCGCTGCCGGGTATGTCCCGCTGCCTTGGCAACCCCTCCCCATCTTCTTAGACTCTGCCCGCTCACCCTGCTTCCTCTCACGCTCCGGCCAAGAGGAGGGGGCGGCAGGACCCTGGGATCTAATGGCAGAGCGGCAAGGTGAGGGTGGGTCTGGCCTGATGTAAGCTGGGTCTCCATGTCCGCCCTCTGGCAGCCACCCCAACCCCGGAGCAGCCACAAGCAGATGGCCAGCTGCCTCTGATCCTGGGCCCAGTGCTAGCCTTGCTGGCCCTGGTGGCCCTGGGGGCCCTGGGCCTGTGGCACGTCCGGCGGAGGCAGAAGAAACGTCTGGGCCTGCGCAGCGAGCTGGGCGAATCCGGACTCATTCTGAAGGCATCCGAGCAGGGGGAAAGCATGTTGGGGGTATGAACACGGAGAACGAGGGACACAGGGTGGAGGGAGGGATAGAAGCCACAGAATCAGCGGGGATGCAGAGTGACAGGTAGCCAAGAAAGGCACAATCACAGACACTAGTGGGCCGGAGGCTGGGTGAGTGAGGCTCATGCAGAGAAACAGTAGCCAGGGCCAGGGTGAGGTGGGAGAAGGGGGCTGGGTGAGGGACAGCCTCTCAGTGGCTTCTCGGGACCCCCAGGACCTTCTGAACAGCGACTGCACAACAGGCAGCGGCTCAGGACTCCCCTTCCTGGTGCAGAGGACGGTGGCACGGCAGGTCGCCCTGGTGGAGTGTGTGGGTGAGCAGTGGGCGAGCCTTGGGGATGGGGACCACAGGCCTGGAGGGGTAAGAGAGCTCTTGGCCTCTGGAGTCACAGGCGGGACCAGGCCTGGCTCGGAATGGGAATTCTGCTGGGCAGGGCGTGGGTTGGAGATGAGACAGGGCTAGATCCTTCTGCAGGAGCCAGGAAGGAGCAAGAAGCCGGTGAGGGCGCCTGCCAGCTGGATGGGGCCTGCATTAAGGCAGACATAGGTGTCAGAGGTTCTGCAGGCGGGTCAGTGCAGCATTAAGATGGCGGCAGGCTCTTCTGGGGACTACTGTGCCCAGGGGCTTGTGTGACTTTCTCTCTCCCCTTGGATCAGGAAAGGGCCGCTATGGCGAGGTGTGGCGAGGCCTGTGGCATGGTGAGAGTGTGGCAGTCAAGATATTCTCCTCGAGGGATGAACAGTCCTGGTTCCGGGAGACGGAGATCTACAATACAGTGTTGCTCAGACACGACAACATCCTAGGCAAGCGGTGGGGAGGGGAGGGGGTGCTATGCCAGGCCTGGGGCTTTCGTCCTCCCGCACTCAGGGCTGGAGTCCCCAGCCTCTGGACGCTGACCAAACGCTGAAGGACTCCCGCCCGCCCTCAGGCCCAACCTCTGACTCCAGCTTCCTCTCTGACCTAAGCCACAGCAGCTTCTACGCCAGCCCCAGGTTTGCCCTGACCAGCCCATCCTGTGCCTTCGGGCCCAGCCTGGACCCTGACCAGTCCAGCCTCCTTCACCCCTAGATCCTTAGCCAAGCCACCTGACCCTCTGCCCACAGGCTTTATTGCCTCGGACATGACGTCCCGCAACTCAAGCACGCAGCTGTGGCTTATCACGCACTACCACGAGCATGGCTCGCTCTACGACTTCCTGCAGAGGCACACGTTGGAGCCCCAGCTGGCCCTAAGGCTAGCTGTGTCCGCCGCCTGCGGCCTGGCGCACCTGCACGTGGAGATCTTCGGCACTCAGGGCAAACCAGCCATCGCCCACCGCGACCTCAAGAGTCGCAACGTGCTGGTCAAGAGCAACCTGCAGTGTTGCATCGCGGACCTGGGTGAGCCGGTGGGGTAGGGGCAGGGCCTTTGCAGGGACTGGGGTGCGGTAAGGTGGAGCCTTCCTGAGGGCAGAACAGGGAAGGGACCGTCCCTTCGCAGGGGGACGGGGTTCGCAGTTCAGGGCCACTCTCCCTCTCTACTTGATTGTGCCTTTGCCTGCATGTGTGTGCGCGTGCCTGCTGGCGGAGACCGATACTGATATCGATTGGCGCTTCAAAACTTAGAGATGTTTGCTATCTCATTTCACCTCCATGAGAGCCCCACAAGTTGCCTAACACTCTGTTTAAGCTTCAACTTCTTTCACCACAACACCCTGGCTCAAGGAGTTGGGAGAAAGGCGCAGGGAGCCAGGAACCCGGGTTCCCATCCTGGCTTCACTGGCTACATCGCCATTCGTCACAAAGCCTGGGGGTACTGCTCTGCGAAACGGGCGTAATAATGCCTGCTTTGCTCACTCCCATCTTGCTGGGTTCTTGGGCACCTAGAGCGCTACACAAGTGAAGCAAAACGCGGCCAGTTCTCCCAGCCCACCTCCGGGCAGGTCTCCGCTTGCCTGCCCCTCGGTACCTCACCTCCAACCTCACCCTGCCCCCTGGACCCCAGGCTGGGGCCACCCTGTCTGTGGGCTCAGGTGAGTGGCAGGAGTGACAGCCCTGGTACCCACAGGCCTGGCTGTGATGCACTCACAGGGTAGCGATTACCTGGACATCGGCAACAACCCGCGAGTGGGCACCAAGCGGTACATGGCCCCCGAGGTGCTGGATGAGCAGATCCGCACCGATTGCTTCGAGTCCTACAAGTGGACGGACATCTGGGCCTTTGGCCTGGTGCTGTGGGAGATCACCCGGAGGACCATTGTCAATGGTGAGGGCCCACCCTGCACAGGGTGAAGAAGGGGGAATGGGGGGAGTGGACAGACGAACAGGGAATGGGGGCTTCTTGCCAGGGCTGGTGCCTGTGGCCCAAGGGGCTCGTGGCCCGACTGCCTGTATCCCATTCATTGCTACTCACCAGCTGGTTCAGCTGTGCAACCTTTTAAGGTTCATCTGAGCCTGCGAGTCTGTGATTCTCGCTGTGAAATCTTAGGTAAGTGATAATAACAGAAATATTAATAGCAGCTAGCATTTATTGAGCTTAAATGTATGCCAGATGCCATGCGATATACATGTATTATCTTATTTAATCGTCCTGTGTTGGCAGAAAGCTGGTATCGCTTAGGAGGTAAGAGTGTGGGTTGGGAATCAGACTGCCAACGTTCAACTCTTGATTTTGCCACTGACCATGGGCAGATTACTTGATGCCTCTGTGCCTCAGTTTCCTCACTTGTAAAATGAAAATAAAAAGAGTTTTTAATTGTTGAGATAATCCAAATAAAGTATTTAGGACAGTATGTGGAGCTGTTCTGGAGCTCAGTAAATGTGAGTGGCAATTATTGTTGTCATAATGAATCCCTGACCCAGTGTCACCCCATTTTACAGATTGGGGGTCTGAGACACAGAACTGCAGCTGGCTAGATGCAGCGCCAGGGTCTCAGGCGGTGTGACCCGGGGGCCAGGGCTGTTTGTCACTGTGCTGCTTAAACCTCTCTGGTCCTTGGTCTCCTGGCCCACAAAGATGCGGATGCAACAGTGCCTGCACTGCCTGCTTATCGCTTCCTCATCGTTACTGTGGGTGCCACAGGTGACTCAGATTTGGAGTGGCTGGGAGCAGGCGGGGGCACCTCATTCCTGCTGGCGCCATACGGTAGGCCGCGCTGTGGCCAGTGCCGTCCCAGCCCTCAGGTGGGCGCACGAACTGGGTGGGAGGCTTGCCAGTCTTTGAGGAGGCTGCCCATGGGGTGGGGCTGCCGGGAGTCCTGACAGTTCAGAGACAAGCCTCAGGATGTGACTGGAGCTCTGTTCCTTGGGGAGAGGGACAGTCTCATTTCCTGAGCACCCATGAGGAACCAGCTCCATGCCAGGCTTCATTTGCTCTCAGCGGCCATTGATGGGTGGAGGCCAAGGTGTAACCAGTCCCTCGGGCAGATTCAGGGGGCTCAGGTTCCCGCCCTTTCAGCTGTGAACGTTCAGAGTCAGCGCTAGAGGCTGGGGTAAGGGAAGAGGGTACCTTGGAGGAGCCGAGGGCCCTTGGACCAGGCTGCAGGCAGGAAAGGAAAGCTGGACCAGCCAGGGCTGAGGGGGAGGCTGACGGCAGGCTCCTGGGGCGGAGGGAAGCTCTGTCAGCCCCACACAGATTCGTGGCGCATTATAAACACTGTAATCTGGTGTCGGCCCCGGCACTGATTAAAGGCCCATTAGACACGCTCAGGCCTCTGTGCAGCACTGATTAGGGCGCGAGCGGCGCAGGGACTGGCCTGGAAGCCCGCCATGGGGAGAACAGCTGGCGAAGGCTTTCCCAGGGTTGTGGCTGTGCAGCCGTGTGGCTCTGGTCCCCAGCCTCGGCCTGGGAAGCAGGGTGGGGCGCAGGGCACTTTTTCCAGGTCTGGCCTCTCCTGCCTGAGCTGTCTGCAGCTCTACAGGCGACACTTCCAGAAAGCCGCTGCTAAGGATGGCGCACTTGGTATACGGAGGGGAGGGTGCTGCCGGCTAAGGGGGTCAGCCAAGGCCTGTGCCATCCCTGAGAGGGGGTGGATGTTATTTGCACATGGATAAAATCCCTTTCCTTTGGGAGAGGCATTTCCTCCCCCTTCTCCTGGTTCCACATCCTCACCCAGCTGTCAACCAGCTATCCTCCCTTAAGTAGCTTAGAGGTCAAGAGCATGGCCTTTGGTTACATTTTTGGGGGCTTAAAAATTCTATTTCTGTCCCTTATTGCCTGTACTTTTAGATAAGCTTCTTCACTTTTGTGGCCTTAATTTCATTGCTTATAGAATGGAGCTCATAACATTGCTTACTTCATCGCATTATTGTGAGGATTTAAAGCAAGGCAGTTAGGACTGTGCTTGGCACATAGTAAGTGCTCAGGAAAGGCTGGTATCATTGGACGTCCGTGCTGGCTGGAACCTGAGAGCAGCACCTGGGCCCCGGGTGGGAAGCAGCTGTGGAAAGGCTGGAACAAGATCTGGCCTAGGAATCTAACAAGATGAGTTTCAGTCTTGACTCTGCCATGACTAGCTGTGCGACCTGGGCCTCAACTTCTCTGACCATTCATGTCTTCCTCTGTAAAACGCAGGTAACAGTAGTACCACCTCAAAACGTTATTGTAAAGACAGGATAATGCGTATAAAGCATTTATAGCACAATGCCTGACACATGGTAAGTGCAAAGTAAATGGTAGTAGTAATTATTATGATATAATAATATGTTTATAATATGATAGTGTCCCTCTCAAGGGTAGCGTGGTCAGGCAGCTGGTTTCTTGGCCCCTGGGACAGAGGATGAGCAAGACTGTCCTCTGGGTAGTATTGGGCCTTCTTGGGGTCCCAAGTGACTGTCCTTTTCCCCCTCCATTCCCAGGCATTGTGGAGGACTATAGGCCACCTTTCTATGACATGGTGCCCAACGACCCCAGCTTTGAGGACATGAAGAAGGTGGTGTGCGTTGACCAGCAGACCCCCACCATCCCCAACAGGCTGGCTGCAGACCCGGTGAGGCCTCCGCAGGGGCTGGGATGCCATGGGGGGTGGCTCACAGCTGGGGTTCCTGGGCCAGGAACTTGTATCCGAGGCCTCTGCTTCACCTGGACAGATCCTGGGGCATAAATTCCAGGGTACCTCCCTGGCTACACCCTCCCATATCCCTGGCCTGTGGGCCCCCAGGGACCCCCTAGTTATTCTGGGATTTTCAGGACCCTTCGCCTTGCCAGAAAAATCAGGTTCCCTGCTGCATTTCCTGCTATGAAGTTTTTGCTGTTGTTTGTTTGCTTTTATCTTTTCTCAAAACACTCTACATGCTTTTACAAGATACATACTCATGTGAATATAAACACATATAGGTATACACATGCTTCTACTTCAATGTATATTCAAAGATACATACAGATACATGCCCTTATGTATATGCATATACATATATGTATACACAGACACATGTACATTTTTATATAACATATATATCCGCAAAAAGCCACACGTGTATTCATGTGCGCACGCACACACAACCCCTCTCAAGAACCAACCGTAGGTCAGGCTGGCTCACTCTGGGGCCACTGAGCCTCCTGGGATGGCTTCTTCCCTGAGCACCTGCATCCTGGGGCGGTGCCCCCCACCTACTCTTCCAGTGTTCGCTAGGCCCAGCCGGGGGCGGCAGAGGGCTGGGAGACACTGCCCTCTGCTCCGGGGTGGCCGCTCATGGGGATGCGGGAGCCCCAAGGCTTGCATATCTCCCCTTTCTTGATCTGTGTGGAGGCGATGGGTGGGGGTGAGACACTACTCACCAAGGGGGTCTGAGTGCTCCGGAAGATCTGAATTCCATCTCTCTTTCTGTTCTGCCTGCCTGTCTCCATACCCCTTCTCACTCCACTGGCTTCCTCTTCCGTGTTTTATTTTGCTCTCTCCAACCTCGCCTGGATCCCTCCATTCCCGCCTTACCACTTTGGTCCTTCCTCCCCCTCCTCCTTCCCAACACTGTCTTCTTCTTCCTGTCCTTTCTGTCCTGCTTGTGTCTTCCCATTACTGGGCCATTCTCCTCACCACCCCCCTTCCATCTTCCCTGTCCCATGCCCTGCTTCTCTCCTCTGCCATTCTTTCCCTCCCCCCAGGTCCTCTCTGGCCTGGCTCAGATGATCCGGGAGTGCTGGTACCCCAACCCCTGCGCCCGCCTCACTGCGCTGCGGATCAAGAAGACACTACAGAAACTCAGCAACAGTCTTGAGAAGCCCAAAGCGATTCTCTAGCCATGGGCCTGACACCTGACTCCCCTTGGCCTGCGGTGTGTGTGGTGCGGGGTGGACGGTGGGGGTGGACCGTGGCCTATCTGAGTAGAGGTAATATGTATGTGCTGGAGAGGAGAGTGCCCCTCTAGGGGCAGCTGTGCCTGCCTAGCTCGGCCCCCAGCCTATCCAGCCAAAAATACAGCTGGGCTGAAACCCGATCTCCCCACTGTCTGGCCTGCTCAGAGCAGCAGGCTCCCTGACGCCTGGCTCTGTCCCCACCACGGTGCCCTGGGTGCACCCCTACCACCCCAGGGCAGGATACAAAGGAGGCCCCAGAGCCAAGATGGCCAAGCCAGGGAATCCCAGTCTCTTGGGCCGAGAGCCTGGTCCTGCACTTTACCCCCTGCCCCCGGCCAACCCCACTGCCCTCCCAGAGCTCCCACGGTGGCACAGGGCCGCCTCCAGCCTTCAGTAGGCACCCAGCCCTGCCAGGCCTTAGCCTCTGGCCCAGGCCCCACGCACCCAGGGCCCACGAGTTTCCCTCCGTGGGTTTGTATCTCCACTCCACAACGCCTTGGGCGTCCGTCTCCTGCTCGCTGACTGCCAGCTGCCTGAGAGAGTTGGGGCCTGATCCTGGGCCGTTCCTCCACCCCCTTCCCAGCTGACTTATTGGAGCCTTAAATCCAAGGAGTCCTGCTGTGGGTGTGGAAAGGTCATAGGCCATGGGAGAAGTGGCAGGTCAGAAGGGTTAGGCCCAGCACTCTCAGAATAACTGAGGGGACACTGAAGCCCAGCCTGGCCAGGGAAGGGCTCAGCTGGGAGCCAGAGAACCAGGTTCTGGTCCTGGATGCTTGCTAAGTGACGAAACTGAGGCCTTCACTGTCACAGGACCTGTTTCTTCATCTACATATTGGAAGAGTTCCTCCTGATGTCTTCTGAGGTTTTTTCAGCTCGACTGTTCTTTGAAATGTCAGCCTGTTCAGAACTTGGTTCGCCAGTGCCTTCAACTCCTTATGCCCCAGCCCCTGGCAATTTGGCCCAAGATGGGGATTTGAAAATAACTTTGTCTGAGGCCAGGAGTGCCTGAGACGCCACCTAGTCTAATTCTACAGGCTCCGGTTCCTGCCAGTGGCCATCCTTAGGCTCAAACAGCCCCTGGCCTCTTGGCAGACGAGCCAGCCCTCGCCCCTTCTGTGGCTCTGCCTTCTCCACTCAGGGCTGACAGGGGCTGAGGCAGGCTTCTTGCACGGCCTCCAAAGCTCAGAAGAAATTTGGCTCCAGGCAGCAATCTCCTAGCACCCAGGTTCCTGCTCCCCACTGCCCCCACCCCGGCCCCAGCCCACACCCTTGGCCAGGCCCCAGGGAGTGTATGTCTAGAAAGTTTCTGTGTGGCATCTGGAAGTCAAGGTGTGTGAAGAGCTGGGAGGTTACCCTGACCCCTGGGCAGAGGACGGGCTGGGGGGCAGTGGTTTGGAGGCAGAGCCTGACGGGTTGTGGGGAGTGGGGTTCATGCTGGGGGCAAGGACAGCCCCAAGCTTGGAAAGACCTGGACTCACAGCCCTCAGCCCTTGAGGCAGGGTGGAGAAGGACCCTCCATTCTTCACGGGAGACAAAGAAAACACAGTCCTCTCTTGTCCTCCTGTAACTGGCCCAGCACAGCCTCTGGCGGGCAGCTTGTTGGGTGTTTCTCCCACCATCACCCCGGGCAGTTTCCCAGGCCTGTCTCCCAGCATTGTGCAAGGTGGGGCGGGGGGGGGGGGGGACCAGGAAGTGAAACTGGGAGAAAACAGAAAGCTAGATGGACCTGCTGGGTTACCAGATAGATCACCACGGGGCAGCTTGCTTCACATCCTCTGGTCACTGGGACCCACCCAAGGGTCCATCCTTCCCTGAAAGATTTCTCTCCATTGGATTTGGGAGCCAAATGGCCCCTTCTGAGACCCCACGGCCAGAAACTGAAGGCAGCAGCTCCCCAAAGCCTAGAAAATTACTAAGAGGAGAAGGTCTGAGGCAGGAGGTGGAGTGACAGGGGGAGGGTTGAGCAAAGGGGGCCGGTTTTGGGAGAATGGCCTGTGGCCAGGGAGGGAAGGGGGCACTGGCGAGGGCAGCCTGCACAGTGCATCTGCCTGAGTGCAGAAGGGTGTGCAAGGGTCCAAATTACAGTCACTTACCTGGAGATACTGTTTGTGAGAGCACTTAGCTCGTGCTGAGCACATAGTAGGTCCTCAATAAAACCTTGGTGGAATCCTGAGCTCCTGCTGAGTCTTCCTAGGCTGGCGCCTCTGCAGTGACCCATTGTAGAGGGAAACTGAGGGAAAGAGCGTCCCAGGTACCATGCCTGGGCTTTGCCCTTAATTGACGGCTCGTGATTTGCTCAGGCCTCTGCTTAAACACCCCCGCAGCGCCCCAAATTTCTGTTCACACCATGAGCTGGCAGCAGGCCGCACGGTGGCGCTGGCCTCAGCGCCCTCTGCTGGCGGAAGTGAGCAGGACAGCAGTCGCTGCCCTCCCGCTTCTGCGCGACGACCCTGAGGCGGGGATCTTCTCCGCCTGCCCCGGCGACAGAGTGGGTGAGCTCCCCCGTGCTTCCGTTTTGCAGGTACTGTCCCCTGAAAACCACACCTTAAAAGGACCTTTCCGTTTCCTCACTCGGAGGCGGCTTGGACCTGCCTGCCTGAATGCCCTGTTCTTAATTCTCTCCTCAAATGCGGTGCCCACCATGCTCAGAGTACTCAGAAAGGGAACGCCCATTCCTTTGACCACGGAGGTTCCCCCTTACTCCCTGGAGCCCCCAAGTCGGCTTCATGCCAGGAGCCCGTGCACATGGGGTCCAAGCAACAGACAGTGAGTGCCCTCCTTCCCAGCGCTGGGATAACAAGGACATTCCTGGCATCCCACCAAGGCGGCCTTTCTCCTGCCCCCGTGCCTGCCAGACCCTGGTCCTTAATGTCCCCACCCCATGTCCACACTATGGTTGGCGAGCGGGCAGAAAGGCAGTAGGAACATTGCAGAAAATGAGCTCCAAGAAGTCTGGCTGGGACCTGGGAGAGAAGAAATGGCTCATGGCCCTCCAGGGTGAGAAGAGTCCTTGGGAGGCCCAGGGTCCAAGGCCCTGTCTGCGCACGGAGCTTCAGGGAACCTGCCTGCCTCTGAAAGAGGAAGGCCCATTGATTACTTTTTGCAGCTTTGCCCTGCTTTCCTGGGGGCCCTAGCTTCTAATTTTATTACCTCTCCAAAGACGGAGAGGATCTTTTGTGTGGACCCTCCCTAAAGGATGATGAGTGTATAACGCGCCCAAGTGGGGATGAAGGTGGATCCTGCAGCAAGAGCTTCGGTATTGAAGAGCATCCCTTCCCCCTTGGGGTACCCAGGCCCTCAAGGACCGTTCTAGGTGCCGTCCTAGTCGCCCTTCTCCCTCAGCCCTGCCTCACATCAGCCTTCAAGGAGGATGCTCTGCTTCCTCCATATCCTCACTCGCATCAAGATTAACAGACCCAGAGACAGCCGAGTCCTCAAGCCTCAAGACCCAGCCCTGGCAGTGGAGTGGAGGGCTGCACACGTCCCGAGGCCAGCCTCCCAGGGCGGGGACTGATGCTAGCTGTGCAGTCGTCACTCTGGGTGGGCGACTCTTGGAACACGCTGCTTCCATCAGGGCCACATTCAGTTTGCTAGAAATAGAGACAGAGGGCTTCTTGACTTTGCATATCATTTGCATAATGTCATAGACACAGTCTATTTTCAGGCAGTTTTCAGGTTAAAGTGTTGTCACTGCTGCCCTGTGGGGTGTCATGTCTGGATGAGTCTCTTTGCTGTTCTTTCTCACCCACCCACTCTCCCTGACCTAGATCCCCAGCTGCAGGAGCAAGTGGTGAGGTGGGGGGCGAGTGGGGTTGTCCAGGGAGACATGGAGGCAGGTCGAGAGGCACACTGAAATTTCCTTTATGACCACAAACATCAAAAGCAGAATGTGGCTGCTCAAGGGCAACTGATAGGCAGAGAGGGCAGGGGACCAGAAACAAGGTGGCCTATCTTCTGTAAAACCCTTTCCTACCTCTTCTGGTAGGAGAACAGCCAGTTCCCATACAAAGACGTCTAGATAAACCTGTTCCTCTCAGCCACCCATAACGCCTTGCTTGGCCCAGACATCCCTCGTGGGCATTTATTTTCAGCACTAAGATTTGATTTTAGCCTCATGGGAAATCTGATCCCCAGTCTGTCTCTCTCCTGGGAGACCCACTGGGGAAAGCAGTATCCTAATCCAATGATCAGTGTTTTTAAAGCACCTGGCACACAGTAGGAGGTCAGGCAGTGCTCGAGTCCCCCTTCTCTCCTTTCATTCAGAAGCCTGTGCCAAGCACCTAATTGTCCCAGGCCAGGATGCCCAGCTCAGGCACCGTCTGCTGAGGGCTGGAGGCAAACACACTAGAAGGGCCAGTTGGCATGACTGTCACAAAGTCATTTGTGAACTTGTCACGTCACTTGTCCTCTCAGCTAGAAACCAGGGATTTGGTGGATTTTAGGGGCAAGGGCAATTGTCATTTCATAGCTTGAGCTGTTTGATGACCTGTCCTTGGTCACAGGGGGCTAGGCCTGGAGCCCCACCCAGAGCTCCCACCAGGCCCTTTGGTCTCCGGGACTGTCTGCTTGGCCGTCGTCCTAAGGATCCCCCAGATGCTGAGGTAAAAAGCCTGGGAGCCTTTCTGGGTCCTGGGAATCAGGAGGCCATTGGTCAGGCTGGACAGCAGCAATGTATTACCCAGAATTCCCAGTCCCTGGCGTCCAGTCCCCCTGGACCTGCTTCATCCCCTTAGGCAGGCGTTTCCTGTTGATAAGAAGCTCAGTCACAAACACTGATAAAGAGATGAAAAAAGGAAATTGACGGGCTTGGGTATAATGGGCATTTTGTCTGCCTTTTCTACCCTCTTCCTTCTCCCAGCACCCCTCCCCCACTGCTTCCGAGAACCAAGGGGAAAACATGCCCCCCACCTCCACTTGGGCCCTATTTTGTGGTTTCCAGGAATTTAGCCTTACATAGCCCTTAGAAGTAGTGCCTAGCATGACCCAGGTGGCGGGGGCAGCGTTAGGAGCTGAGGCAGGAAGCCCTGGGTGCTATGAGGCCACCAAGCCTAGGGGAAAGGGTGGTGGCAGGAGGAAGGAAGGACAGTCAGGCACAGGTTTCATCTACAACCTTCCTTCTTCCCTCCCCCTCCTTCCCCCCAGAGGCCTGGATCCAAGTCATGATCAGGTGGCTGCACAGTCTATAATTAGTGGATTTTCCATAATTTTAGTCTCAGGCTCATTGCTGGAAAATCTCATTAATTTTGACTCTACTAATTTGGAATCTATGATTCTTCAGGACAAGAAACTGGACTGATGTTTTGAAAAATAAACATAGCAAACAAGTTTGCAAAGCATGTCCCACTGCGGTTCTCAGGTTTGGATGTGTAAGCTCGGCTAGACAAAGGCAGCTCCTCTCCACCTCCAGCGTTGAGCCTGCAGTGAAGATAGCCCACCGCCAGGTGGGCGACGAGGCTTCGCTTGACGCTCGTGCTTCACACACAGCTGCCGTGGCTCACAGAGCGGTGCTTTGAAGGCTTATATCCCATACTCCTTTCTATCTCTTCCCCAAAGATTAATTCCTTAATGAAAGAGTTATGCAGGCAGAAAGAAGTGGAATAGATGGTTCTAACTGGCCATTGTTTAAAAGAGAAACAATAGTCGTAAACAACTTGGACACTTTCTCCTGAATTCTTAACTGTTTCCAGTCCAGGTTACCGCCTGGGCAGGGCCTTCTCCTGGCTTCAGGCCCTCATATCTGTCACTGCGCTTCTGACACTTGATGAAAGGAGCAGAGCAGTGAAGAGCAAAAAGGATTTGTCCTAGTCAAGGTTCCAGTTGGATTTTTTTGTTTGTTTTTAGTAATGCAACAAATTTATTCTCAATTTTACATGGGAGAATATCAATTCACAAAGAGCTTAAGTCAATTTTTCCTTATTTTAGGTTACTTTATAATAGGTTATACTTTCATGTAATTCAAAAATAAACGATTCGGTTCCCTGAAAATTCACATGTTGAAACCCTAATGTGATGGTACTTGGAAGCAGGCCCCCTGGGAGGTGATTAGGTCTGAGTGTGGAGCCGCACAGTGGGGTCAGTGTCCCTATGAGAAGAGGAAGGGAGCTCTTTTCACCCTGTGAGGATCCAAATGAGAAGATGGCCGTCTGTAAACTGGAAAGAGGGTCTTCGCCCAGATCCAGGACCGTACTGGTGCCCTGGTCTCAGACTTCACGGCTTCCATAGCTGTGACAAATTAATGTTTGTTGCTTAAGCCAAAAAAAAAAAAAAAAAAAGAGAGAGATTCCAAGGTAGACAGCGAAATATCTCCCTCCCATCCTTGTCTCCCATCTGCCCAGGTTCCCTGACCCCCAAAGAAACACTAGTCTTAGTTTCTTACACTTCTGTCCCTTTCAATTTTATGTGTATTTAAGTGAATTTGAATATAGACTTTTGTCCCTCCGACCTTTTGTATAAAAGTAGCGTAGTCTATACATTATTCTACACCTTACGTGTTTCACTTAGTATTATATCTTGGAGATCTTTCCATATCAACATATGGAAAGTTCTTTCTTCCTTCCTTTTTAACAGCAACCTAGTATTCCACTATTTCAATGTACCATAATTAAACCATTCCCCTATTCTTGGAAGTTTCTAACTTTTGGCTA